GCCATCCTTCCTCTGCCTCCCAAGTAACTAGGACTCAGGCAAGTACCACTGTGGCAAGCTAATTTTTATTCTTTTTCTTTTCTTATTTTTTTAGAGAAGGGATCTGCTATGTTGCCTATGTTGGTCTCGAACTCCTGGGCTCGAGCAATACTCTTGCCTCAGCCTACCAAAGTGTTGTGATTACAGTTGTGAGCCACCGCACCTGGCCCATTTGATAACTTTATGGTTAAATGTTTTTATTAAATGCCAGACTATTTTTTTCAAAACTGCTCCACCATTTTTTCATTCCCACCAGCAATGTTGGAGGGTTTCAATTTCTCTATATCTTGGACAACACTTGTTAGACACTTGTTAATAGCTACCCTAGTGATATGAAGTTGTATCTGATGGTGATTTTGATTTCCATTTCCCTAATGACTGATGATGTTGAGGATCTATTCATGGGATAGATCTTAGGGATAGACCTTAGGAATAAGGTATGAATTTCCTCTCTGGATGTCAGCCAGGGGCAGCTCGACTCCTAGAACCTCCCACGTACCTTCTCCACAGACTCCTACATCTTCAAAGTAATAGAGCTGAATCAAATGCATCTCGTTTTTGAAAATCTCTTACTTCTGCTCTCTAATAGAGAAATCTATCTGGTTCTATTTATACATTTATTTAAGAAAGAGGGTTTTGCTCTGTCTCCTAGGATGGAGTACAGTGGCGGAATCCTAGCTCACTGCAGCCTCAAACTCCTGGGTTCAAGCGATCCTCACACCCTAGCCTCTCAAGTAGCTGGGACTACAGAAGAGATCCACTGCACCCGACTCGTTTTTATTTTTACTTTTTAGAGACAAAGCTCTCGCTATGTTGCCCAGGCTGTTCTCAAACTCCAGGCCTAAAGCAATCCTCCTACCTCAGACTCCTAAAGCATTGAAATTATAGGCATAAGCCACTGTGCTGGGCTTCTGTCTACTTCTAAACACTCGGTAGAGTGTCCAAAGGGACATCTCAGGGACTATTGAGATAGGAGTCACCTGTGGCTCAGGGAAGGAAGCCAGACTGCAGCAGGGCTTCTGCCCGGACCCAGTGCTAAACATGAGAGGACCCAGGCGATGTCCTCTATGGCTTCTGGCCCAAGCTGCAGCTGCCAGGCGAGGGTGTGTGGACCCCAGAACTCTGACTGAGATAGGAACTAATTTCCCAAGACAGACATTACAAAGCCAGAATGTAGTTACAAGATGTGGTGAGCAGAGTGGGAAAATCCATCCAAGACCAACTAAGAGCAAGTTGGCATGGAAAATGACCTCTGCTTGCCCTTTTTGCCTATTATATGCTAATTATAATACATTAGCATGCTAAAAGATACTCCCACCAGTGCCATGATAGTTTACAATTACCATGGCAACTTCTGGAAGTTACCCTATATGGTTTTAAAAGGGGAGGAATCTTCTATCCCAGGAACTCCCACCTCTTTCCCAAAAAACTCACTAATAATCCACCCCTTACTTAGCATATAATCAAGAGACAGCTATACAAATAAAACTCCAGTGATAAATGGCTGCTGCTCTCCCTATAAATGAGCTGAGGCTGCTCTGTCTGTGGAGTAGCCTACTCTCTGTCATTTCAATACTTTTCTTCATTTTCCTTTTTTTTCATTTTCCAACTGAAACCCCAGTGATACACGTAGACTGCTCCACCTATAAACTAGCCATCTTTCTGTTTCTCCATTTCTTTAACAAATGTACTTTTCATCTCCTATTTATTGCTCGTGCTAAAGTTCTATCCTGCATGAAGCCAAGAACCCGCTTGGCCTCTCAGGTTGAAGCCCAGTTCTGGATTTGCTTGCATCATCTTCCTTGGTGACTCTGGTGGGATCCCAACTTTGGGGTCTCCCAGCCTGTACCATGATGATCAGTGAGAAGTTTACTATGGCAGCCATTTCCCCACCCAGGAACAATGGAGAATGGGAGATATTGGGAACCATGAATTTTGTAAAAGCTGTGCAAGACTGCAGTGAAGAATCACATTTACAAAAGCAAAAGGGACAGTCTTTTATTTATGATATTTGTCAAAACGGGATATTCAATTGAATAAAAAGTTTGAGAAACTGGTTTCTGCTTTGATACCAAAAACATTTGTAAAGGTGTCAAAACATAATAATCCTTTCCATTTGTATCTGATTAAGATTTCAAACTGAAGTCTTCATTTTGGGGCTGTGTTTTAAAGTTCAGACCCTATCAGTTAAAGGTAATTATCATTGTTAATTGATAAAAGGAGGGGAAATCTTATTAAAGTGCATCTATTAATCATTTTATCTAGAACGTTGTATATTTTTCCACTTTAATTTTTTTTCTTATTTTATCTTTGTTTTCTTTTTTTCCACTTTCAAAACAAGTGCAGTAAAATGTATTAAAATTGTCAGAGCGGCAAAAAATATTACAATGAAATTGTTAGAGTTTTAATGGAACAAGCAGTTTCCCTCTTGACACCGATATTTGGAAAGGATCGTTTCACTGTTTTTATAATTCAAAAGTAATGTTTGTTAAACACCCTGTCAAAAGAGAATCATTTTCAGAATTGCAGATTCCTGGATGATTGTGTTAAGGTTTGCCTGTGCTTTGAAACCATCACAGAACACACTTTCTTCTGGAATATATTTGATTGATAAGAAAGTTTAAACATTGTTTTCCCCTCAATGTGGGAACACAGTTGTTTTGTTTTTTAGTGCTACCAAAATAAAATATTCATATTTGCATTTAAAAATCCCACATAGTGTTTGAATTAATAACTAGAAGGCTAGAATCTTAGAGGGGTATAATTAGAATCCTGCCTAGGAAACAAGCCAAGAGTGGACAGCTGCAGTACCACAGTCCCAATTGGACAGTGAAAAAGAGAAATCCTCCCAGAGGGAAGAACTTTAAGCAGTGCACCTGGTTGTTCATTCTGCCTAAAAGAGAGGTGGCCAGAGGTGTGAATATGTACCGATGTCTAGGCTGCGTCTCATTTATTGGCTGAAAAGTTGTTGGTATTGAGGATTCATGATTGAAAATGTATGGCAAGAAAATCTGGGGAACAGGTATGTAGATAAATGTAAGTAGAATGTGAAGTTATTTGGGTTATTTGGGTCTCATGAGAATTTGCAACCAAGGGGACTCACCAGAGCAGAATTTTAATAATCTGGTGGGTAAAGTACCCATAATCTAGATGTCAATCAATCTTTTTCTCCAACACTTGTGTCACGATCTTATGGACTCACAGGCAAAGAGGCCAAGTTGGCAGGAAAGGAGATTATGCTCAGTAGCATAGACTTTCACTCACCAAGGCTAACCTGGCTGCAGTCATTGATGAGTGTACAATTTACTAGAAGCAGAGAAAAACACTCAGCATCTTCTATGGCATCAGTGTCCAGAGTGATCATTGGGTCACTTCCATTATGGAAGGGAAAGTGTTTTCTTTGTTCTTACTCAAAGAGACATTTATTCTGGATCTGGATTTTCCTTCCCACCCACAGTACTTTGAGAAAGCCAACACTTTTGGATGTAGAGAATGCCCTATTCACCATCATGGTATTCCACAGAGCATCACCTCTAAACAAGACTCACCTCACAGGAAATAAAGTGCACAAATGTACTCATGTTCATGGGCACTTACTAGTCTTACTATGTGCCTCCATTTTCTTGAAGTGACTGAAGCAACAGCAGTGAAATGGTCTTGTGAAGACTCGGTTACAGAGCTAGCTAGGTGGCAATAACTTGCAGGGCTGAGCAATTACTTCTGGGAAGCACTGTTTGCTGGAGATCAGCATCCAGTACAGTTTGCTTTCTCTCTCGTAGTCAGGATTCACGGGTCCTAAAACCAAGGGGTGGAAATGGGAGTGCTTCAACTCACTATTTACCCCGATGATCCACTAACAAAACTGTTTCCCATCCCTCTGATTTTAAGCTCTTCTGAGCTAGAAGTCTTAGTTTCAAAGGGAAAAATGCTTTCACCAAGGAACACAACAATGGTTCCATTGAAAGGAAACATACTTTAGCTGGCCATTTTATTCTCTTCATCCCTCTCAACCAAAAGACAAAGGAGGAGGTCCTGTACTGGCTGGAGAGATGGAGCCTGACATTCAAAGGAAGATTGGAGCCGGGTGTGGTGGCTCGTGCCTGTAATCCCAGCACTTTGAGGCCGAGGTGGGAGGATTACTTGAGTCCAGGAGTACAAGACCAGCCTGGGCAACATAGCGAAACCTTAACTCTACAAAAAAATTTTTTTTAATTAGCTGGGTGTGGCAGTGTGTGCCTGTAGTCCCAGATACTCAGGAGGCTGAGGTGGAAGGATCACCTGAGCCCAGGAGGTTGAGGCTGCTGTGAGCTGTGATTGTCATAATCATGCCATTGCACTTCAGCCTGGGTGACAGAGTGAGACCTTGACTCAAAAAAAAAAAAGTAACATTGGATTCCAACCACACAAAGGCTAAGAAAATAAGAAAAGTATCGCTGATATGTCTAAAGCCCTTCTTAGTACTCCCATATTTTGTAATTAGAGTTCCAGAAAAATGTAGCAAGACAATTCAGGCAGGACATCTAATGCCCCAGACCCTTCAGTAACGAAGGTGTGAGTCATCCTGCGAGGCCAAGCACCATGACCAGCTGAGATGCTGACTCAGGGCAAAGGGAATAAGAAATGAGTAGGAAAAGGAGGTAGAAATACAAGCTACAACAATGTAATGTGTTGCAGAAGACAAGACTGTAATAGTATTTACCTCAGGAATTACTAACATTCACCAGCAAAGGTGGGAAAACAAACCAACAAACAACAAACTTCTTTCACATGATATGCTTAGGGCAAAAGCCCAATATATACTAACAGATATTTCTTAGCTTTTTTTCTTAGCCTCTGGAATGCAATTCTCTTCACTAACACATTTAGTCAGCTTCAGTGATATCCTGCTCCATTCTAAAAACATCAGCCTTGATCTTTTATCTCATCAATCATTGTGCTTCCAGGATTATGCACTTGGGGTTTTACTCTATTTTGTGTGAAAAGCCATTGGGAACCATTCGTTCGAGCATCTTCTCAAGGTGCTTAATTAAGTCTCGTCTTTTAAACCTGAAAATAAAGAGACATGCCATTCACCAAAAGATACCCAAAGTACCTAAGATGTAGGAAGCAGTATGGGGGTTAGAGAGGGGAGCTTACAGGCTGCATAGAAATAGAATTCATGTGCAGGGTAGGAGGTGGTCTAGCAAATGTAAAGACATTATCAGTTGAGGGAAAGTGCCCATCTCAGATATGGTAAAAGTGGAGGTGTCCATAGGCTTGGAAGAATGAGTGAGACTCAGATGACACCAATTTAAATAACTGTGGAGACAGTCTTAGTTAGGAGTGAGGGCCAGGGTTTGAGAAACTCAAGGTAGGTGCTGTTCCCCATTCCTCATCCCCACTATTGCACTGGGCACAAGTACTCAAAGACATTGGACAGTTCCTATTTCCACCCACCTTGCTGCTTCCTTGATGGTAGACACAACAAATTGTTTCCTGGCTTCTTGAGTTCCTTGTACTCCTTCAAGCAATGCGAAGATTCTTTCATATTCTAAATATATTTTTAAAATTTCATTATTTCTCAAATATGAAGAAGAAACAGAAGTCATTTCTGGTGCATCTATCCCTCATCAATGAGTTGTATCCATTCCTCACCAATTTGTGGGTTACAATGTTAGGTACACTGGAGGTGTTCTAAAGGCTTAAATCAAGGAACCTGCCCACATCTACTAATGAGACTCTTATAAACTATAACCAAGTAAGAAAAAGAAAAAAAGGTGTGCTGCGATATTATAATTAAAGAAAAGAGAAACCAACCTAACACAAGTGAAGAGAAAATCCAATTCTGCCCCCCCCAGAAAATGTGCCTCAGCAGGTGACTTAGATACGTTCTAAATCATAGAATGGGGGAGCCGTCCCATGTTTCTAAAAATAGACCTGTTTGCACTACTTACTTCGTCCAAATTGTCGAATTTCTTTCCTTAATTGAGTTTTTATACCAGCATTAATTTCTTCTGGGCTCTTTGGCAAAGTGGACATATCTGTGACTTTTGGGTCATCTGCAGAGAGAGTGCTGCTGGTAGGGACTTCTCCTACAAGTGCATCTGTACCAGGTTTGTGAACCAGCTCATCTTTGCTGATAAGAGTGATGTCATCCAACTGGGAATCCAGTGGGATTGGTGAAAAACCATCTCCTACCATATTCATAAGATCTGAAGAAACAGGTCTTCCTGGAGAGCCAACAGTTGGACTTTGACCACTTTCCTTCTCCTCCACATGGACATCATGAATGACAGGCACATCTGAAAACAAAATTGAGAGGTTGAGCTGTGAGATCATGAGAGAGTAACACCCTCACAGCTGTATCTGTGAGCTCCTCAGTTTCTGGGGCATTATTTATTTCATAAGACAGGAGGATATACAAGGGGAAATCTCAGACCTGAAAAATTGGGGTCAGGACAACAGGACAATAAAAGCACCTCTTATTTTATGGCTCTATGAATACATCTGGAAATCTAGTATTTAATTATCTTCACTAACTTAATGCACTTCAACTAGATGCTCTTTACAAGTTGAAAAGCTAGGGGAGGAGAGACAAGATGGTGACGAAACAGGTCAGAGTGTGAGAGTCTCCATAAAAGTGAGTGTCCATAAAGACTGTCTGCATAAATGGCTGTGTGCAGGTAGGTGAGTGAAAGTTTGTCTGAGGGGAGATTCAGGTTCATGCACCCAAGGCTCTCTTCCGGAGGGGACTGCAACCCACCACCATCATGAGATTGGAGCCCCCGGCACACAGGATCGTCTGCCATTCTCAGGACTCTCTTGAGAGGAGGCAGCAGAAAACAGCTTCTCCTCACCACATGGCTCCACAACCTCTCCAGGTTAAAACAAGAAGAAATCAAGTCCTTAAACAGACCAATAACAACCCAGGAAATTGACTATGTCATAAGAAAACTACCTACAAAAAACTGCCCTGGACCAGATGACTTTACAGCAGAATTCTACAAAACATACAAGAGGAGCTGATATCAATCCTATTAAAAGTATTCCAGACCAGGCATGGTGGCTCAGGCCTGCAATCCCAGCACTTTGGGAGTCTAAGATGAGGGGATTGCCTGAGCCCAAGGGTTTGAGAACAGCCTGGGCAACTTGGCGAGACCTCATCTCTACAATAAATCAAAAGAATTAGGCAGACATGGTTGTGCACACCTGTAGTTTCAGCTACTTGGAAGGCTGAGGCAGAAGGATCACCTGAGCCCAGGAGGTCGACACTGGGGTGGCCATGAACATGTAACTGCACTCCAGTCTGGGTAACGGAGTGAGACTTCAACTCAAAAAAAAAAAAAAAAAAGTATTCCAGGCAACTGAGAAAGATGGAACTCTCCCCAAATCATTCTATGAAGCTAACATCACATTGATACCCAAACCAGGTAAAGATCCAACAAAGAAGGAGAAGTACAGGCCAATATCCTTGATGAACATAGATGCTAAAATTCTCAACAAGATTCTACCAAACTGGATCCAACAACACATCTCAAAAATCATCCACTATGACCAAGTAGGTTTCATACCTAGAATGCAGGGCTGGTTCAACATCCACAAGACCATAAACATAATTAAATATATCAAAAGATGCAAAACCAAAAACCATATGATTATATCACTAGACACAGATAAAGTTTTCTATAAAATCCAGCATCCCTTCTTGATAAAAATCCTCAAACATCTAGGCATAGATGGAACATACCTCAAAATTGTAAGAGCCATCTACAAGAAACCCACAGCCAACATACTAATAGACAGAAATTGAAACCGTTTTCCCTGAAACCTGGAACAAGACATGGATGCCTACTCTCACCCCTTCTCTTCAAGTCCTAGCTAGAGCAAACAGACAAGAGAAGGAAATAAGGGGTATCCAAATTGGAAAAGAGGAAGTCAAGTTATCCCTCTTTGCAGACGACATGATTCTATACCTCAAAAACCCAAGAGAATCTGTCAAAAACCTCCTTGCACTGATAAAGGACACTGGCAAAGTGTCAGGGTATAAAATAAATGTGCAAAAGACGGTCGCATTCCTATACACCAACAAGAAACAAACAGAAACTCAAATGAAAAGCAAAGTCCCATTCACAATAGCCACAAAAAAATGAAATACCTTGGCATCTTCCTAACCAGAGAAGTGAAAGAACTTTACAATGAAAACTACAAGACATAGCTCAAAGAAATCAAAGATGACACAAACAAATGGAAAAATTTTCCATGATCATGGATTGGAAGAATCAACATTGTTAAGATGTCCATCCTACCTGAGGCAATCTGCAGATTTAATGCAATACCCATTAAATTACCAACAGCATTCTTCTCAGACCTGGAAATGACAATACAGGAATTCACATGGAAACATAAAATACCACGAACAGCCAAAACAATCCTCAGCAAAAAAAAAAAAAAGACAAAGCAGAAGGTACCACACTCCCAAACTTTAAACTTTATCATAAAGCTACAATAATCAAAACAGCCTGGTATTGGTACAAGAGCAGGCATACAGACCAATGGAACAGGATAGAAATTCTGTAAAACCTCAATTTCTCAACCAACTCATCTTCGACAAAGCCTGCACCATCAACCACTGGAGAGAGGCGAACCTATTCAGTAAATGGTGCTGGGAATACTGGCTGACCACATGCAGAAGATTCAGACAAGACCCCTGTCTATCCCCATACACAAAAATGAACTCTAAATGGATCAAAGACCTAAACATAAAACCTCAAACTATAAGAACCTTAGAAAATGCAGGTAACACCCTTATGGAAATTAGAACTGGCAACCAATTCCTGATCAAAATCCCAAGCGCCCATGCCATAAGAGATAAGATAGACAGTGGGACCTCATCAAACTGACAAGCATCTGCAAAGCTAAAGAAACCATCAAGAGAGTGGGGAGACAGCCCACAGACTGGGAAAATATATTTGCCAACTGTATGTCTGACAAAGGCCTAACATCTAGGATTTACAAGGAACTCAAACATGCCAAAAAGAAAAAAGTCAACAGCCCCATTACAGAGTGGGCAAAAGTTATGAACAGACACTTCTCAAAAGAAAACATACAAGCAGCCAACAGATACATGAAAAAAATGTTCAGTCTCACTAGTCATCAAAGATATGTAAATCAAAACCACACTGAAGCTGGGCTCAATGGCTCAGCCTGTAATCCCACGCCTTTGGGAGGCTGAGGTGAGTGGATTGCCTGAGCCCGAGACCCACCTGGGTAACTTGGCGAGACCTCATCTCTGCAATAAATCAAAAAATGAGCCGGGCATGGTAGCGCACGCCTGTAGTTCCAGCTACTTGGAAGGCTGAGGCGGAAGGATCGCTGGAGCCCAGCAGGTCGAGGCTGCGGTGGCCGGGAGCGGCCACTGCACTCCAGTCTGGGTGACAGAGTGACTCCAACTCAAAAAAAAAAAAAAAAACCACACTGAGATACCACCTAACTCCAGTCAGAATGGCCATAATCAATAATGCAAAAAATAACAGATTCTGGAGAGGATGCAGGGAAAACGGAACACTTCTACACTGTTCGTGAGAGTGTAAAGTAGTACAACCTCTGTGGAAAACAGTTTGGCGATTCATAAAAGATCTAAAAATAGACCTTCCATACGACCCCACAATCCCATCACTGGGAATATACACGGAGGAACCCAAATCACTATGAAAAAGATACCTGCACACACATGTTTTTTGCAGCATTATTCACAATAGCAAAAACATGGAACCAACCATGCTGCCCTTGAAAGAGGACTGAATTTTTAAAATGTGGTACATATACACAATGGAATATTATTCAGCCATAACAACTTGGATGGACTTAGAGTCTATCATACTTAGTGATCTAACACAGAAACAAAGAAGAGTACCACATGTTCTCACTCATAAGCAGACCTTGAACAATTATCATAATACTATAAGAAAGGGTTTGGCAGTAGTGGGAAACTGCCGGGGGTTGGGAGGGGAGGATGGGATTGGCAGTAGTGAGAAACTGCCAGGGCAGGGGAGGCGGGGCACATCTCATCAACAAGGGTACCTGCATAATGAACATTTGTATACCTAACCCTGAATTGTACCCCACATCTTTAAAATAAAAAAAAATAATTTTAAAAAAAGAAAGAAAAGCTGAAAATTTCATATGGTGTCATGATTTCTGAAGTTTGCACACAATCTACATGCTTTCTGAGTTGGAAACCAGACAACATGGGCCTGCCTCAACCGCCTTCCTCTCTACCTCAAGATTCTGAGAAAACAGAGTCAGTCATTAGGGCTGAAGATTTTCTATGCAATCCATGAGGAAAGTTTTCTTTTAGTATATAATTTTCCTAGTTTGTCTTTTCTGTGTCAGAAAAGTGAATTTTTTTTTACTCCAAGCCTCACACCTCTATTTCATTTATTTATCTTCTTGCCAGACACAGTGCCAGGAGCTGGGGATCATCAGGGAACAGCACAGAGAGGAACTTTCCCAACACTTATGGAGCTCACATTCTCATGTGGAAGTGAGACAGAAAGTGCACAGTGAGCAAAAGAAACAGGTGACCTTGGGTTCTAGTAGGGACATAGTCCATGGGTCTATGGGAGAAAGCAGTAGAAGGAGCCCCACGGTGGTTGCTGGTTGTGCATGGCCTTCTGAGGAAGTGACCTAGGGCAGAGTCTGGAGGAGGCAGACCTACCTGCGCAGATGCAAAAGGACAGTCCCAGGCTGCTGCAAGGGCAGAGGCTGGAGGGGAAACAAGATAGGTACCTTGGAGTGAGAGACAGGGGCAGAGAGAGCCAGGAGGAGATCACTGTAACCCCTGTGAGGGGTAGGTGGTGGGGGCTAAGTCGTACAGAACCTTTTAGACAGAATCAGGAGATCAGGATCAGTTCTGAGTGCTTAGGAAAGCAGAGAATGGGTTTTCCGGAAGGACATGGCAGATGTGATTTATCTGCCGACCTGATCACGTGGCTGCAGGGTTAGAGAGTACAGTTTGTAGACAAGGTTATATGGGGTAGAAGGGAGAATAGGAAATGGGAGATATCATAGTAGCATAGTGATGGATCATGGCAGAGTAGACTAGAAATATAGAGAGAAATTCTGGGATTCAGAATTTTATACTATGTGGAGGGGAGAAGAAAAGAAAAGGAAGAAAAAAGAATAATCAGGATTCACCAGTAAGGACAAGTAAGGAGAAAACTGTGGTGAATGGAAATCCTAGAAAGTTTCCATGAAGGAGGAAGTGAACAACTGTGTCAAATACTGTTGAAAAATTAATGACAATGTCAGCTGAAATTGTTGACCTTGACAGGAACAGTTGCAGTAAAGGGCAGAAGGTAGGGACATTAGGACAGGCAGAAGGTGTAGCGTGAACAGGAGGTGTGGAAAGGCATACTTACTCTTTTCCTTTAACATGATAGAACCCCCAAGAAGGGAATCTCCCTGTCTTTCTTCTTTCATTGACAACAGGACCATATTCTTCCTTCTCTTAAATGAAGGACTCTTGGGTTCCTCAGAATGCTTATATTTGTCTTCAGGTACTACAACAACCTTCTGTGCTTCATCAGGCATCATTTCCTGGAAAATCTCAATGAACATACTCCATTCATGAAAAAAATCCAGCAATCACAAAATTCCCCACACAGCCTGCATATGTGTATACAACCAAAAATCTGATCATTAATTTGAGTTTAAATCAAGAGGCAAGATTTGCCATGCCCTAACAAACACTCTGTTCTCAGGAAAACCAACCTAATTTTCACCCACTCCAAATTAAAAAAAAAAAGAATGCTAACAAAATGTTTTGCAAAGCCAAAGATGATATGAGCATAGTCAAAATGCTTGGGAAATGAGCTTTCTCAACAAAGCATAGATAAAAATATGATACATCTTTGAAGAAATGTAATGAAATCTGTATTCACCCTTGTTAGGAAAAATTAATTCCTTTTCTTTGTCCTCATTTGAGGAGGCCAATATAAACCTAAAAGCAACATCTAACGAAATTAGAAGGAAACTTACAAGTTAAGATTTTCATGAACTTAGACAACAAAAATCCTAAACAAAAGGGTAGCAAATAAAATAAAACAGTACTTTAAAAATCTACATAAATGGTGGTGGAATATATTGCAGGAAGGCAAGATTGATTCAACATTCAAAAATCAATCCATATAATTTATCATATTAACAATAAAAAAAGGAAAAACCTCTATGATTGTTTTAATAGATGGGCCAATATTTAAAACCTATTAGTGATAAAAACTATCAACAACTTAGAATGGAAGGCAACTTCTTCAATCTGATAAAATGTATCTCTAAAAAAATTATAGCAAATGCCATACTTGATCATGAAATATCAAATATTTTTTCCCTCAGTTTAGAAACAAAACAAAGATGTCCACTATCCATTCAACACTTTACTAGAGATTCTAAAAAGTGCAGTAGTACCAGAAAATATAGTAGGCATAAAGTTTAGAAAGAAAGAAATCAAACTGTCATTATCCATAGATGACATTTTTCTGTACATAGAATATGCAAAAGAATATGGAATTATTAAAGGTAAAAAATATAGTCAAATTACTAATAGCAACAAATAATTAGAATATGAAATTGTAAATGTCATTGAAAATAGTATTAAAACATCAAATACTTATAAATAATTCTAATGAAGCTAAAGCTCTACACAAAAATTATAAAACATCACTGAGAGAAATCAAAGACCTTAGTAAATGGAGATAGTCTTTCCATGAATTGCAAAACTTGTCATTAAGGGGCATTATTGTCAATTCTCCCAGAATGATCATAGCAATCTTATTTATTATTATTTATATTTTTATTTATTTATTTATTAGATGAGGTCTCACTATGTTGCCCAGGCAGGTCTCAAAATTCTGGGCTCAAGCAATCCTCCCACCTCAGCCTCCCAAAGTTCTGGGATTACAGGTGTGAGCCACCATGCCTGGCCTGCAATCTTATTTAAAATTCCACCATGTAAAAAAAAAAATTGTTATGAGAATTACCAACATAAAAATTTTTAAAGTATATAGAAATTAAAGGTTTGGAAAAAGCAAGACAAACTTTTAAGAAAAAAAACTAAGGCAGCAGACACACACTACCTAAGAAGAGATTTACTATAAAGGTACAGCCAGGTATTGGAGCCAGGTATTGGAGCAATGATAGGCAAATATACCAATGGAAGAAAACAGAGACCCCAGAAGCAAATGTGGAAATATACCAGGGGGAATCTTCTCCCAAAAAGACAGAATTATTTTTTGGTGGGCAGGTCTCTTGTCCTATGGGCTTCCCCTGCTAGGTAAACATTTTAGGAACTCGTCAGCAACAGTGTACCAGCTAGCATTGCTGTGAGAGGCTGTCTTCGGCTTCAGCTGTTTTTGTTTTGGGAATTCTTTCAATGCATTTGCTCATTTCATGATGGGTGATTTACAAGCACATCTGTCCACACCTCACTGAGTGTTCAGCAGTTTTGTTTTTGTTTTTGTTTTTTTACCTAAAACAGCATGACCCCATGCCCCACCCCCCATTCACCCAAACTTGCCATGAGTGACTTCTCCCCCGCCCAGATGAAAAAAGTCCTCAAAGGGAAACATTTTACCAATATAAAAGAGGTGAAACAAAAAAATAGCAGAAGCACTAAAAGCCATCAAAATTGACAAGTTCAAAAATTGTTTTGAGCAGTGGAAAAAGCATCTCAATAGATGTATTGCATCAAATGGAGAGTGCCTTGAAGGAAAATGAAGTCTAAACAGGAAAGAATACACAACTTTTTATAAATAAATTCTGGGGATTTTTTTTTGCCTCCTCCCTTGCAAAATAGCTAGATTTATGATACAAGGGCCTCTGTACATCATTGTGGATAGTGCTTTCAATAAATCCACCTGATAAGTACAGGGAAAAGCTGGGCACAGTGGCTCACGCTTGTAATCCCAACACTTTGGGAGGCAGAGGCGAGAGGATTGCCTGATTCCAGGGGTTTGAGACCAGCCTGGGCAAGTTGGTAAGATCTCTTCTCTACAATAAATCAAAAAATTAGCCAGGTGTGGCGGCGTGCACCTATGGTTCCAGGTACTTGGAAGGCTGAGGTGGAAGGATTGCCTGAGCCCAGCAGGTGTAATCTGTGGTAGCCGTGAGCATGCCACTGCACTCCTACCTGGGTGACAGTGAGACTCTGACTCAAAAAAAGAAAGAAAGAAAGAAAAAAGGACAGGAAAAATATAAACTCTGACTCAACTCATCCCACTCCATAAAACTTCATAGGGATGGATGGAAGAGCTAGTATAAAACTTGGAATATTACTTTAGGCAAAGATTTTTTTTTTTTTTTGTAGAGATGAGCTCTCACTGTATTGCCCAGTTTGGTCTCAAATTCCTCAGCTCAAGCGATCCTCTCATTTCAGCCTCCCAAAATGCTGGGAATTACAGGCATGAGCCACCATACCTAGCAAGACAAAGACGTTTTTAATGAGGATTAAAAAGTACTAATTATAAGGAATATAGTGTTCATTTAGATATAATTAAGTTTAAAACTCCTGTTTATCAAAAATACACTGAAAATAAAAATGTAGAAAATACTCAAAATTACATCTATTTTTTCTCCAAAAAAAATGAATGGAATCAACAATACATACAGAACTACAAATCAAATTTAAAAATACAAACATACCGATATAATTTGAGGGGAAAAGCTGAAAATGCACTTCATAAAAGACAGTCACATGCCCAGCAAACACTTAAAATATGCACGTAATCTGACTCTATTCCATTATACAAAAATGTATTTAAGGTGAATGGGAGATCTAGGAAAAAAACCTAGAATATTATCTTCATGGTGGTTAGGGTAGACAAAGATTTATTAAAGGAATAAAAGCATTAACCATAGAGTAATTAATTAAATTACGAATTTCTGTTAATTTAAAAGACATTAAGACAGTAAAAAGCAAACTAGAGATTTGTAGAAGATACTAAAATTGTATATACATTGTAAAATATATTTTTATTACATATATGTGTGTGGAATCCAAAATATATGTAAACTACAAATCAATTTCAAAAATACAAATATCCCAACAAAATGTGGGAGAAAGATCTGAAAAGGCACTTCATAAAAGATATACCCAAATACCATAAAATATGCCCAATCAACACATAAAAATGCTCAGCTTCATTAATCAGCAGAGAAACGCAAGTGGCGACATAACGAGAGATGACTGCACACCCACCAGACTGGCTGAAATTTAAGACTGACTACGCCGCAAGTGTTTCTGAGTACGTGGTGCAACTTGTACTTTCAAACATTGCTGGACCCAGATTCACACACAGGCACCCGAAGCCAGAGCAGAAAGGTTAAATGGAGCCCCCAAGGAAGAGCTCCCTCAGAGCTGCGATAAGGCAACCAAGGAAAGGTAACCCACCCCAGGGCTGAAACAAAGCGCCCAGGGTGAAGCTGCAACCCTCATGGCTGAGAAAGAGTGCCCGGATTCGACCTTAGGCTGAGAGTATCCAAAGAGCAGCCCCCCACCACCACCACCACGTGACTGCACATAGAGAGCACCAAAGGGCAAACCTCTCTCAGCACTAGGAGAAAGCCTCTAGTAAGTCCTCACCAGGGATGAGCAGAACAAAAGAAAAGCCACCACTTCATAGCCGAGATGAAGCACCCAAGGAAAAAATGCTCCTCTGTGCTGACAAAAGTGCCCAAGGAAAAGTTTCTCACGATCTGAGTTAAAGTCCCCGCGGCAGACCCTCCATCCCAGGGCAGATACCAAGCACCCAAGGAAAAGTCTCCATCACGGTTTGCGCAGAGGGCCAAGAAACACAGCCACCCCAAGATCGAGGACACCTAAGGAAAAGACACCTTCCGGAGTTACACTAGAGGCCCCAGGGAAAATAACCTCACCCACAGTGCTGAAATCCTGACCTTATGCATGGAGCCTGGTACCACTACACAAATGGCAGACAAGCTATGATGGTGCCTCCCCAAAGAAGAACTTTTCTGGAAATCTGCCCTCTGAGAGCTGCTGGAAATGCGCCCTCTGGTGTGCCTGGGAATGATGTGCACGGGAAGGTGTCTAACCAGAAGCACTCCGAAACTGACTGCCCAAGGAGGAATTAAGGAGAGCAGTTCGTCGCCACGTGCTGCCGGCCACGGTGCCCCCGCCCCAGCCAGGCACTGCGAAGCTGTGTGTGCGGTGCCAGAGCCTGGTATGAAGAAGCCTAGAGCCTGGCAAGACCAGCTGTGCCAGTCCTGTCTCTGCGACAACTGAGACACGACAAAATATTTACGAGAACTCGGAGCTTCTTCACGAAGCTGGGCAAAAGGGTGAAATTGAGGCCAGGAGCAATGGCTCATGCTTGTAATCCCAGCACTTCGGGAGGTCGAGGCGAAAGATTGCCCGAGCCCAGAGGTTTGGGACCATCCTGGGCAACTTGGCGAGATCTTGTCTCTACAATAAATCAAAAGATTAGCTGGACGTGGTGGCACACGCCTGTAGTTCCAGCTACCTGGAAGGCTGAGGCAGAAGGATTGCCTGAGCCCAACAAGTCGAGGCTGAGGTGGCTGTAATCGTGCCACAGCATTCCAGCCTG